ATATATATTTTAGTTAGAAACACAAAGGAACAATTACAAACACGTGCGCAAGCTCTTTGCTGGAACAGTCTAACTGAGAACGACCATCGAACAGCCTTACAGCAAAACCTCAAAGCTTACTGAGATATCCTCAGCTCACCTGTCCTACATTTCAATATGAAAGAGCGCAATCTACTGGACTCACGGGAGAACAAAGATAAGGAAAATAAGGAAATAAGGAAAACGGTGCTGTATTACTGTGTGTTTGAGAAATAGCAAGGGAAAAAGAGAAGGGATGCTCTGATAGAAGAAAACACTCATTGACCAATGTTTTTTTTTTAATTTAAAGCAAATAGCCTCAAACAAGTTACACGTGCATTTGCAGGAATGTTGGTTCAATAGAGAGGATAAGCTGTGACATGCTTTCATTTACTGTAAAATTATTATAACTCATCCCCAAGTTTGTAAAAAGCAAATAAAAATCATATTGATTATGCAATATATATATATATATATATATATATATATATATATATATATTTGCTTAGAAATGCTGCAATGCAAAAAAAACAAAAATATCAAGCAGCAGTTTTAACACTGATAATAAAAAGAAAAGTTTATTGAGCAGCATATTAGAATGATTTCTGAGGATCATGTGACACTGAAGACTGGAGTAATGATGCTGAAAACTCAGGAATAAATTACATTTCAAAATATATTCAAATAGAAAAGAGTTATTTTGAATTATAATAATATTTCACTTTTTAGTGTTTGATCAAATAAATGTATGTAAAGCTACTTTTAAATGGCCATCAGTAGAGAAATTTGTAAAGTTTTTAAAACCAGATGTAGTTACAGGCAAAATCCTTGGTGTGTATCTAAGCTTTAATAAATGAATGATACTATGTGATATTCTATGATAATATTTCACAATATTACTGTTTTTACAGTATTTTTGATCTAATAAATGCATCCTCGGTAAACATAAGAAATGTCTTTCAAAAGCATTTTAAAAATACAGACCCCAAGTTTTACAGCTTTACAGCTCCAGAAACATTTTTTGTAAGGAACAATTCATATGTTCAAAAAAAAAAAACGTTACATTTTTGTTAAAAAAAAAAAAATTTTCATTACAAACTGAGGGATGAGTCCAAACTATTTTCTGTATTAATCAAGAGCTCAGCTTGTATCGAACCCAGAACATTCCTTTAAAACTCCTGTATGATGGTTTAAAACAATCTCGTCATTTCTAAGCAAATGCAAAGTGTGCTCTGTCAATCCCACAGGTTTTATTCCTAATTTGAAAAACATAATAAAATAAAAAATAATTGCAATACTTCTCACAGCTTCATCAGTAATAAATACAGTGCAGTGCACAATGCTGAGATCAATCCTTTTCTTCAATCTTTTCTTTTGATGTGAAAGTGAAAATACTTTGTAGTGCACACAACACATGCTCTTCAAAAAGGGAACTCAAAATAAACAGGCTTTAAAAAAAAATCATATATATTATACAATTATGGGAAATATTTGAATCTTCCATATGGAAAGGGAAGACTAAAAAAATTGAAAAGTAAATGCTGATTAAAGGGGTTTGATCAGTTCATTTCAGTTAAAGGGTCAAATCTTCATACTTCTCTCACAGGAGCACATATGACACCATTAATTCCAGCCACAAAAAAAAAAAAAAATACATTAAATTTTAATGAGGTTAGAGAGGATCAAGGGGGGGTAAAAGTAATATAGAAAATATAAAACGGGTAAAAATCAATGAAAGAAACGACAGCTTCTATCAAAAGATACTGAACGTTTATTCCTCTCAGCCTTGCTGTTGTTCTCTCTGTATGTTGTTGCATTTGATCATTAAAGTCTGTGTTTGGGCTCACATGATGGTGCAGCACTTGCAGGGTTGTTTCTCCTTGCTCTTGACCTCCGCAGCGCCCCCTTCTGGCTGCCCCGACTCGCCTGCCGCCTCTTCAGCCTTTGGTGGCTCTGCTGGGCTGCCATTAGGGGGCGCCTGTTCCTGCTTGGCGTCACCGGCGGCGGTCTTGGCATCTCCGTCCTCGATGAGCACCACCTCAGCCTTCACAGTCGTGCTCTCCAGCCCCAAAACCTTCTTTGTTTCATCCTCGTCTTCAACGCTCTGATAGCCCATGAAAACCATTGTGACTGGGTTCTCCGCACTGGCTCCGCCCACTTCTGTCTGAGGGGCTGCGGGTTGGGCTTCTACACCTGTGATCTCCTTTATGGGGGCTGCGGCTGGGACTACATCTTTCTCTACCTTCTCCACCTTCTCGGCCTGCCCTCGCTCCAGTCGCGGCGTAGTCTTGCTGCTCTCGCTCATGGTCACCTCATCAGCCTTGTGGAGGAGCTCTTCCACCTCTGAAGAGCTGAGCTGGTGAACGCCATTGGTTACTGCACCGTCTACACTGCGCACCTCATGCACCACTGCATAGAGAAAAACAAGACGGAAAGAGTCAGGAAAGACTTTTCCCTCACTGACTGCTCTTCATATTAAAGCGATAGTTCACTTTCAGTTTCTAGTCCCTATTGACTTAAAAGGTGTTTTTTTACTATACTATGGAAGTAAATGGGGACTAGCAACTGAAGGTGAACTATCGCTTTAAGACTGACAAGCCCCAAGTATACTTCGTTTTTGTACACGTACGGTAGCGGCGAACGCGTAGCCTTTCAAAGTATACTCCATTTGATGTTATGCGCGAATGCGGGCGGTCGAAACAAGTGCACTAGAAAGCTTTATCCATGTTCAGTGTCTGCTCTATTTTTCCCTGCAAGTTATGACCGATAACAAATATTTTTGAACTCTTTTAAACCAAAGCTGAGCTGTCTCATACCCTCTCGCTCACAAGCACTTGTCAATGTGAGCGTCTGTTGTTGTTGCAGTCTCTGCTATTTTGTTGTTGTTGTTCCGTCTCTTTTGTTTCGTTTTCTACTGTGAAACAACGGTGCGGGACGGTGTTGCCACCTTGAGGAACAACAGATTAGTGCAAAATAACTTCAATGTGCATGTGCGACCTGCGGGTCGAGTAGTGCGCGTACAGTACGTACAGTACTGTTCTGATGACGAAATTCATGTCACGTGCACTGTATGCTGTCCCTCGCGTACGCATAAAAAGTGAAGTATACTTTGGCCTTTTTCAACCCAAGCATTTGTGGGTCATTGACAAATGAGAGTGTTCAACAATGTAAAAAATGATTTTTCGAAGTCACATAAAACAAAGACTACTAGAGTACTTTTTACAGGAAGATGCTATTTCAGCCTTTCTACTTCAAAATTAAATTTACTATTACTTGCTGTTTCTATTAATTATTTTCTATTAATTCTATTTCTGAATGAAAAATTTCCGACACCATTTTGCTGGTTTCATATGGTTTCCAAAAAACAAAAAAAAACATTCAAAGATTTTTTTTTTTTTCATTTTCAACAATTTAAAGAAAAACATTTAGTTTTATTGAACTTAAATTAACTTAATGAAATTAAAAAATGTTATGTGGCATAACCACCAATAAAAAAGTACCAAAATATTGTCTTTACACCTAGAATAAGTGTATTATTTTCCAAAAAAAGGTATACATTTTAAGTTTTTTTTAAATATTTTTTAAACAAATATAGTTAATTATTCATTCATTAATTTTTTTAATGGGGGGAGATGGTTTGCAGGGATCTGCAGGGTCCTTTCTATTTTATAATTTATGTTTTTTATGGGTTTTTTTCCTGCATGTTTATTGACGTCATAACACCAAATGACTTTTTGGAGGGCAAAAGTTTTTTTTATATATATATATTTTTTTTTTATATTTTATCAAAACTACTTCACTATTTTTAAAACCTACTTAAGAGTTTTCAATAACTTCCTATCAGTGAGGTATTTCTTCATTATATCAGGACAGTTTTATTATCCCAATATTACAAAACTATATTAAAATTAATTTAAATTTAGAAATTAAAAACAACAAAATATTATATGTATGAAAAAATGTATTTAAAAAAAAACAAAAAAAAAACATGCCATTTTGTAGATTATAATAAACATAGGATGACCATACATCCATTTTTACATCCTTTATTTCTTTTTTTATATATTAAAATTAATTTAAATTTAGAAATTAAAAACAACAAAATATTATATGTATGAAAAAATGTATTTAAAAAAAACCAAAAAAAAAACATGCCATTTTGTAGATTATAATAAACATAGGATGACCATACATCCATTTTTACATCCTTTATTTCTTTTTTTTAATTTTTTCTCTGAATTGCCTAAAATGTCCAAGTTTGACTTTGTTTTCCTATAGACCATTTCTCTACAGTCCTCATACATTATATGTACACGTATTTGCACTGTTTTGGCCATTCTCTGTAATTCCCGCCTTCTCGCAAGCCACGATTGGTCGATTGTGTACAATGCCTGCATGCTACTGGCCACTGCACTTTTCAGTCATTACCTTCAGCAAGTATGAAAAACAATAGGAAAACAAAGCCAAACCCTGGACATTTTGAGCAATTTAGAAATCCCGGCCAGGACATGTCTGTGGAAAAAAAAGGCATATGGTCACCCTAAATAAACAGCACTGACACCATATTTGAAAATGGTGTCTATATAAATTATTTTTATAGTGTTAAAGCAAACTTCTAGCCAACACTGCAGCACATTTGCCACATATTAACTTCAGGTTTGCTGTAGTCAAGAATTTATAATAAAAACTGCTAGAAAAACACTACTCATTCTAGCCACTGACGAAACGCATGGAAAGCATACTGTGCCCAGTCAATGACTACTGTTAGCATCGTCTTTTAAAGTTGTGCATCAATTGCACTTCACTTGCTAGAAGTGCTCACTTGACTGAGGGATCAAACACAGGAAAAGTGTGGCAAGCGGAGTAAACAGAGCAGGAAGAAAGCAGTGCTACTGGTGTTAGCATTAGCAGCTAGCAGCATTAGCAGTACAAACAGATGCAGTATCAGTGAAACAAGTATTTTAATCATCAGTAAACCTTTGGAGAATATATTTAATATGTGCTAAATTTATAGTTTCATTGTGTAACACCACTTGGAAGAGTGAGAAGTCAGGCTGGAGGCTCGTGGCTAAGCTTGGCAGCAACATGCCCAAAACTAGCAGTCAAGTTGCAGGGTGACCAACTGAGAGTTTAACGCACAACATGGTCTTTCGTTCTCTGACAGAAAATAACAAAAAATCAGGGGTTTGTGGTTACCCTGCATCTAAAGCCATGCTCAATTAATCTCTTCCTTTACGAGAAGTGACCAGCGTTTGATGACACATCAAGTAAAACTGACAAATATAAGACTCTGGTCTCATCCTCATGTCGTTCCAAACCCATCTGACCCAGCCTGAAAGAGATGTTTAGATGAATGTCCGAGCTACTCTTTTCCATACAATAAAAGCATAGGCCTACATTGGCCATCAAGCTTCAAAATGAACAAAAAAG